TCTCCCTTATTCATCTAAAGAAGGAATTGTGTGAAGTTGTAAAGAGAGAAGAAAATTCAAAGGAACTTCAAGGGATTTGCTTGGGGAAGAACTTGAGATAAGTTGTATTTACTTCTTATGATTGTATGAAGTTGCTTTTAAATATAAAATCATTTTTTTTGTATCTTCCTCATGAGTTGTTAGTAAATTTATTTGTCTTTCTCCTTGCAATGAGATGGGGTGATGTGATGATTTAGATTGGTTGTACCGAATTCATGCTGAGATGTTGTGATGATTTTACACTTTATGTTTCATTTACTTTTCAATGTGGCCAATTGAATTGTTAAGATTTGTCGTGAATCATATGATTCGATAGGGCTATGTATTCTACAGCAATAGTGAAGATCACATTCAAATCTCATGGATGGTAAATTTCATGGAGGTTGAATACAAATAATAGGAAAATATATTTTATTGGGAGTAGAATTGGAGATTTTAAAGTGACAGACTAAAATTCCCAATTTGTTGGTAAACTAAAGCAAGAGCTAACCTTCAGGGGAAGGGAAGTGGGAGCTCTAGAGTGACAACTAATATCCTCCTAGCCTAGCTATTGATTTAGGAGATAAACCTAGGATTAGTTAATGTTTTTGGCAACACTCGAAAGGGGTAAAGAATAGGAATGCTCCTATTTGACACAACACAATATCCTACTAATCTTTATCTTTCGCTCACCACAGCATCATTGTAAGGGGGAGGACGTCTTCTCCATATTTGAAACTTGCAACACAAAAACAAAGTTTGGTGTTCGATAACTTGCTTAGAAGCTTAGTTAGTACTTTAATGAATTTGAATATTTAATCGTCTTTATACTATTAATGACTTTAAAATTTTCAGTACACACATTGTGAATTGGATATTGGCTTTCTGCACTACATTTTGCATTTTAAAGCTCCCTTGTATTCCCTATGAGATCGATAACCAGGACTCCACTAGAGCCCTGTATTACTTGAGCGATACATATACTTGCATTCATAATTGTGAGAAAAGAGAAGATATAAAAATTAAATTAGAAACCGAGCACTTAGAAAGTCGTGGCCACACATATATGCACGATACCCTGCAGAAGAACACCCTACTATACTAACATGCATAACAAGCATGCAAGCACACCAAAAAGTGCAAAAAAAGGTGACACATGACTAGCATAAGAGTAAAAGAAAAAAATCACAGAATAATAGCTAGAGGCATTAAAAGGAACTACCTAGCATTCCAAATCCTAACCCGCATTTAAGTGCATAGGGTAAAGTCTCCGGGTAAAGTATGACTTTGACGGGGTCGTCTTGCCGGTCCTATCTTAAAGATCCAAGGGAACCAAAAGATGTCAGTCAAGGTGGATTTTGAAATGAGTTGGCTTTATATACGACATAGTTCGCTACATGCATTATTTTAAAATCATGGCAAATGTCATAATAAGTAGAAAATTTATTTTTTTTAGTTTTTAAAATAAGGGTCATTAAATGTAAACCTGTAACATGCAAGGTGGCACAAGTCAGATCTCTTAGATCCTTAGGACAATCATACTAGTGTCAACCTCGATGACTTATCTCATATTGCTCACCGGGATCGACCCGACGAGTAATGCTCGTTAAGGCATTGCGACTGACACGGGACTCAATCTCTTATCAATCCTGAATCACTATCTATGTAAGCATGCAAATGTAAGTGCAAAAAGTCAGATGATAGAAGTGTTTGGTATGCTATGGAGGCACTGACTCAGAGGGGTGTGTGAAGGGGCACTCAAGGTGAAACTCAAGCAAATGTTGGAAACCACACAAGATGTCATGCAAAGCTTACATCACAAAAAGTATTGTGCTTAGTCTCATAGGGCATATGACGCCACTAGAGAGAATGACACCTTATCCCAATAATGACCAAAAACACATGCAACTGATAGACACATATAGGGTACACTGCACCATACAAGCAAGCATTCAAACTCATGCACATGCATAACATGCACTATGCAGGTGATCAGTCGACCAGGCTGGGGCAGCCGATTGAACCAAAGTGCTATGTCGACCAAACTAGGGGGACCATCAAAGCAAAGTGACATGATGACTGGGCCGGGGTAGCCAGTCAAGGCAAAGTGACATGTCGATCGAGCTGGGGCGGTTAGTCGAGGCAAAGTGATCATGTCATGCAGCCAGTCAAAGCAGTCAAACTCTTGGGTCAGGCAGCAGATCGAGGCAATGTGAAATGTCGGATGGGTTGGGGCAGCCGGTCAAGGCAAATTGATATGCAACATGATTTAAACAAGATATTTAACTAAAGTAAGCAACCACGCTCGATAGCAAACCAAGCTCGCACTAACGTCCTCACTTAGGTACCTAAAGGTTTGGACATTTGGATATGCAACATAACCAGCTCCTGCTTTGGCGAGGCATATGAAGAGTTTCTCCCACAAGATTCTAAGGGAAAACTCTCCACGATGTTGTGACATGGACTAACTACAAAGTTTTTGATATTTCACAAATTTTTTAGGACTTTATAAAGCGAGCTAGCTACAAAGTTTTTCTCAATTTACAAAGCCTAACATTCCGACTTTTTTAAGAAAAGTTGAGGAAACCAAAGCAAGGGGAGAAAGGGACTACAATCCATAGGGATTTGTGCTAGGGTTCGTAACAAGAGGAAACACTCAACTCTACAAAGGGTTAGTCCACGCATGGTACTCGTACCCTATGGCTTCGTCTAGGGAAAACAATGACCATCACATAAGTGAGGCGATCGCATCGATTAACGATGATTGGACACATCCACCCCATGTGGGTGACCGAAACCACGTGTCAAGACTCAACTAACCCTAGAGCAAGCTAAGAAAGAAAAGGAAAGGATCCAAGGAGGTTATACCATCATGTTCGTTGCTCATTATTTGGCAAAGTCCAAAAAGAAGCTCTCCTCGTCAAGGGAGAGGATGTCCACAATTTTCCATGTTGTGGTAAAGTTAGTGCCTGTCGATGACAAGGCACTCTAGCGAGGCTTCCAACCACCAGGAAATGAGGACTAGGCCTCAGACCATGAGGTTGGGTCCGCGTGGTAGGGCCGGGCAAGTGTTGAGTTAGCTGTGAAAATTTTAGCTCTTACATGGTTCACATTCCAAGCAAGCAATATTAAAAACATTCTCTTGTTGTTGAATGTTAAGATGTTTACAACATATCATGAGTAGATTATATGAGATTTTGTTACCTCACAAGTTCTTTCCACAAGTGATGCATAATATATCTTGTATCATTCTTTTAGTCTTACAAGTAGAAATACATATGCAATTATGAAATTTAAGGCACAAAAAAGAAATTTTATAACTTTTAAAAACTTGCGCTTATATATCCATGCATCAAAGTGTATGTGACGTACTTTCCAAATTCAAATTTATTTGGAAGTACATATCCTATTTTTACTAGGTTCCACTATCACTAGATTGCATGAATGTTGCCATTCTAACTTTTCTATAAGTCCAATGAGATGTAATTAAAATGTGGAAGTCGGGTAGTAAAAAAATCCTTCAGTGTCGCTTTTATTTCTTATTTATTAAATGTGGCTCTTCTTTCGGTGGTAAGACCATCAAGCAAACAACACACTTTGATAGCAATTAAATGGTGTGGTGCACCCAAAAAAGAGAAATCAATGTGTGAAAAAAGAAAACTAATAAACTATAATCAAAATCGGGTCCTTGAATCAAATGATAGATCTAAAATTTCACGAGCTACTTCTATAACATATATAATCAAGTTTTACAAGTAAATTTTTAAGCAAAAAACATACATATTATCATATTCTCTATCACATGATTAAGATAATAAAAATAATAACTGATTTTTATTGTTGTTTTGCAGCAATGGGCTAAGTCCATGCCCTGCAACTTCCCCTTAAGATCTCCACCGCTCTCTCATTTACCATGTTAAGGCAAGAAAGTCACTCTTCTTAAGGGGAAATGGGAAATCCAACACTCTTCCTTCTATTCAAATGGAGAATTAAAAAGATTGTCATGAGAAATCCCTACTCTCTATCCTCTAATATTCACTTATTGTCTCCTTCAATTTTTTCTGAAAAAATAGTGTCGGTTGATCATATAGTTTGATTCGTTTACATAAACTCATATCAGATAATCTTGTTGATATGATCACTTGATTAAATTAATTTAAAAAACTATTTTGCACATGATTATTTCGCACATTAAATTTATTCAAATTTTGAACTAATATAATCTAGGCAATTTTGAATTATCAATTAGGTAGAGAATGATGTTAATCATACAAAAAATATATATATTGTACACTACAAATAATTTAGATTTAGAATTCCTTTAATGAAAATTGATCATTCATATACTTACACCGAGCTAGTATCATCCGTCATTACAATAAATATCACATATTATGATCCTTAGATTAATATTCATTATTTGTTATATATCCTTACCCATCACAAATATTATCAAAACAAGCTTGCTTGGTCATATGAGTATTTATCTTTATTCATTTTTCCTAGGTGTCATTTTTTTTAACTATATTCATTTTACATATTTTCGACATTTTTTTAAAATATCAACACCCATTATTAATGTCTCCACCTAACACCTCAGACACGACCACCCGCCGCCTCCAACTGCCAATAGCCATCGACCACCAACATCATTGCACAAATACTCATTGGTCACCAGCTCGAGGCACCATCACACACATCAATTTATTCAAAACTACCTTATATATATTTATATCACCCACCCTCCCGCCCCGCCCGTACAAGCCTTTATTTTTAAAAGCAGAGAAAAATTCATAATTAAATGACTTCAAAAAAATATTTTTTTAAGATTTTTTTCTTTTTTTTTTTGTGAAAGTTGAGGCTTAATAACAACCCTACTAAAAAATAGTGATTAATAATTAAAATGTCCTTTTAACTTAAATCTCTCATTTAAATAACTATTCCATTTCATAATAAAACCTTACAATCATCAGAAAAATCAGATGGCCATAAAAACACCTTCACTACTTTGAAGCATTAAGACATTGCAACATTCTGAAACGATACCATCATTATGACCACAGGATCCAAGAGAATCAGCACCTCCTTTTCCCATCTGCATTTAACCTTACAAAATTTACAAATTACAATATTCTGATACATGCAATATCAGACATTATTCATTTTTTTTTTTCCTGGAGCTCAAACTTCTCACATCTTGTCAAATGAAGCATACTTCCAAGCTTTCAATAGGCAGCAACACGACCCGATTCGCAACCCGGTATCTTCGATGCATCGATATCAGCCCACACTTCGTTAATCCGACCGACGAAATGAAAAGGAGAATTATACTGAGCAATGGAATATGAGTTTTTGTCAAAAGAATCAGTGGAGTTGGCCCAGGGTGACTTCCTCAAGCTAACGGCTAGTTTCTCAGCTTCCTTCACAATATTGTTATCACGGGCAAATCCAGAGAACTGCCTGATTGCAACACAGCGAGTGGGCCAATGCACAGGGTGGAGGTTCAATTCTGGGAGAGGAATGGGAGGGTAAGCGTGGAATTTGGAGGGAAGATAGAATCTGATAGAGTAGGCTGAGGAATGCAGGGGCCCTGCATCCGGAACAATACTGGTTAATACAGGGGTGGTCATTCTGATTCTCGAGGAATTCAAATTGGCTCCTTGAATGTACTGAAATAATCTGAAACATGGATTGTGTTAATGATTTAGCATATGCATGAAAACTGTTTATGAACAAAGATATTTAATAAGAGGATAATCCTTCACCACAGAAGAAAAAAAACTGTCTTTTTAAGGGTTGTTTAGTAACAAATTTAATAAATTCTGTAAATCTGGATTTGCTAAATCGTGCTGACACCAAGAGTTGGTAAATCCTGAATTTAAGACAAAACTGAGAAAATTTTGAGAAGAAACTAAATTTACTAAATCCAAAATTTAAAAGTTAAGACCTGTTTTTTTGTCTAGCAAAATTTAAGTTAAATTCAATATAGATATGTTACTAGATAAACTTCTTAGAGCATATTCAGAAATTGTTCTTGTACGATAGACAAGCAGATCAACAGCTGCACTGCACAGGTTTAGCGAGGGCTAAGCCAAGCAACTCAAATGGATTGAGAGAGAGAGAGAGAGAGAGAAAGCGCTAGCCATGATTAATCACAAAGAGAGAGAATACAAGCCATATCTTTATTCCAATAACAAATCATCATTATTTACATGATATATAAATAGTAGCGATAAGTTGAAAGAAAATATAATCCTAATAACTTTGAGATGAAGGCAAATGTGTCCAAAATGATGAAATGATATGTGTGCCCTTAAAAATTGATAAACGACAAAAAGAGATAGATGTCTTAAAACAAAACGTAAGTGTTGACATTAACATCCATAACCATGAGAAAGACAAATTAACTAATTAAATATGACTAAACTAACAAGGGCAACAGCTCATGACTCTTCGTAGAATATACACGTTGTGTATGACAACACAATTTTCACAAAAACTTAGCCTCTTGCAAATACGTTGGTAACTTTAGAGAGGTTTTAGAAATATCACATTCACTGAAATAGAAATTATATATTTGTATTGTAGAACTGAATACCAGCATTTGAAATGCCCAAGAAGGTTGCCATTATAAACCATAATACACTAAAAATCAGTAATAAAGATATTAGAAAGAAAGCTGGGAATAGAGTAAATAAGCCTCAGGAAAATAGAGAAAGAGTAAAAGTTCGTTGAAGCTATTTAATTTTAGGGTTTTCAAGGAAAATAGAGAAGTAGAAAGGAACCATAATAAAGAAGAATGCTTGCCAAAGACAACAAACCGTTCCCACAAATAAGGTATTGTTGCAGTCCGTCTGTAACGCAAATGAAATAGTAATTCAACATATAATCAGAATGTTGAGATCAAGGATGAGTTGACAAAGGAACTGCTAATGAAGATATGAATAGAATCTACCTGCATGATAATAGGCAAACTACAAGCAAAGCATCAACAATATCATTTGTAGCATTTCCATTGTACAAAGTCAAATCTATCACATTGAATATTATTAGATAGATTCCAGCGTTCATTGAAAGATTAAAGATCAATCACACTATATTTTAGAAGTTTGCTTTTTGAGAGTTTGAGTCGGAAATCTCTCAGGCCTCATTCTTGGAAAAATCAAATCTCCTTAGATTTTAACAAACCTCACATGTGAATGAATCCACAATGCATGGACGCACACATTAATCATGCAAGTATATATGTCAATAAAAAAATATACAGATTTTTAAGTCCGCGTTATCAACCACACGAGGAACTTGTTACTTCTCAAATTATATTAAGCATTGAATTACTAATTTTAATTTAATTCAAAAGATTTAAGATTTTTGAAAAGTTTTCTATAGCTCCTAAATTTTAAAGTGAAAAATTAGAGGTTAGGAGTGTTGCTAATGTGAAAAACACTTCTTTGAATTGATTTATGTAAAAGTTTAAAGATCCCCCACTAGGTTCTTCCTAAAATAGTTCACAATCAAGGACAAGTACTTATTTTCTTCCGAGATATAATAAGCAATGAAATCTCATATTATGATCCTTAAACTTGTAAGGACTAACAGTATTCCCAATTCCTTTATGTGATTGCAAACATCTATTGACAATATTGCTATTTCACTAAATGTTTGTGTTTTAACTTAATTGTTTCACAAGTCTTCTTCTGATTGTGTTAGACTATAGCATCTTTTAACAGATCAAATAACCAATGAAGATTTGAAGGTTAAAACATCAACTTAACCATGCCATTACTCAGAAATCTAACATGAATTCACAATTAACCTTCCGCAACCAACTCAAAAAAGAAATTACTCTAGTCCCACATCATGAGTGAAGAGAGAGCATTCAATTCCATTGAAAATAAAAGACAATTTACAAATGAAGAAGAAATAAAAAAAAACAAAGTAAATCTTCATGCTCCAAGCAATTCTTCCTTCTCAATTTGCTCCACTTGTTTTACTCTCAAATTTCACTCACTACAGAAGCACAAACCTCACAACACTCCTAAAAATAACCTCCATAGCCTAAGAAGGATACAAAAGTGTCTTCATATCTTAAGAATGTCTCCAACATCCCTCTTTGCCGCCTGAAACTTCACTTATAAAGAAAGTATCCCTCCATGTCAGCATCAGTTGGAAACAGCCCAATGTCGTCTATAGGTGCCGGGGCGCCACGATGTGGCGCCACAATGCTCAAATGGGGAGCCCAGGCATTACATCTGGGCTCAGCTTCTGAAATGCAGCGACATTGCTTCTGAGCACTAGAGCATTGCTATTCTAAGATCTACGACGTTAAAAGCTCGGCTCTGCGGTTTTACTCCTAAGGTGTGGTGCTGAAATCATTAAATTTGGGCATTGGAGTCTATACCGCGAGCATTGTGGTGCTATATTAGTGGAGTTGGGGCACTTGTTTCGGGCGCCTCAGTGTCTTGCCTAGGGTTTTTTCCATAAATGCTCCATATAGGGCACTGTGATGCTGCTCCTCCGGCACTATGGCACTATTAATCTGGCGTCATGGCGCTACTATTGCAAAATTGAGGCCCTAGATTACCAATTTGCATTTCTTTTCCAAAAGTTATCATGCCTGTATATTGCACAAATACACAAAATACACCACAAAAAAACATAAAAAAGAACAAAAATATAAGAAAAATCACACTTAACTACACCACCTTGCATACTTATCAAATTCCCCCACTTACACCTCACTTGTCCTCAAGTAATCTTTTATCCAAATTTATATCCTCAAGGATCTTGGTATCCATTATATTATGGTATAATGCTCCTAAAATAAAATAACGAGTATATAACAAAATTGCATATATATTATTCAAGTCTTGAATTAATATTAACCAATAATATCTTAATACTATTTATATTAATATTCTTTTAATATAATACAACTTAGTGTTTCAAGTGTATTATTGACTAAAATAAGTTTGATTAACAAGTGCATAGAAACATTAGCATTTATCAATCAAACAATCTTATTTTATACATTCTCATTCTAAATATAATACTCTCACTTTCAATTCAAGAAGCTTTTGAAAATTTAAGTTAAAAAGGAATAGTGATACCAATTTTTAATTTTTTGATTAACCTCAAGCTTCTCTTCATATATTTATATATTTTTTTCTTTTAATTATTTGAATTTTTTATTTTTAACATTAGTTCGCTCAGTGCTTGTTCCTTTTTTTGTTACTTGAGGATCACTATTTTTAGATGAGCATGTCTAATAATTTTGAAAACCAATTTTCCAATTACTTAAAAGAGCAATCGCTTTCCAATCTTCATGTCAAGTATCATAAGTTAAAAGAAAATAATCTTTATTAAATTATTTAAAATGAAAATTGTTAAGTTTTATAACATTTCTTTAACTAAATTTACAATGGGTGTCAACCGGTCTGGGAAGACCGATCGAGCATAAGTGGTCCCGATCGGTTTGGGACAACCAATCGAGACACAAGTGACACGAAATAAGACAAATGACCACATGCAATAGTGAGCCACGCTCGTATTAATGACCACTTCCAAGAAAGCCTAGGGTTGGATGTGTGGGTGACCGCCATGTTTTTCTACAACGCACCTAGTGGTGTAAAATATGATAATGTTTTTTAATTTTAGATTTTTCCATAAGTACCACACACACTAGGTTTTTGTTTATGCAAATGCACATATCGTTCAAGTAATATAGGGCTCTAATAGAGTTCTGATTATCAGCCCCACAAGGAAAAAAGTTAATTTCCACAACATAAGTAAAAGTTTTAGTCTACTAAAAACTAATTCTTAGCCTGAAAATGAGTTTGGTATAAGTTTAGCATATTTAATTCTACTGAATTAATTTTATCTCTAAATTTAATTAAAAAGCAATGTCACAAGGTAAAATGGAAGTAGAAGAGTTCAAACTATGCTGAAGTCTCTCTTCTTGCAATGAAAATACTAATAAGTGTAGGAATCAAATGCTTAGAAATTTAATTGAAATCATGTGACAAATAGGAGCAAACCTAATCTTTACCCTTTTCCAAGTGTATAAAGATCATTGGTTAACCTGTTCTAGTCTGTCACCCTAGATTACCCACTAGTGCCCTCAATGTGGGTAACCTAGATTTAAGTTCCTAAACCCTAGATCAAATTGATTAAGATTCTAGCTTGTCACTCTAAAATCATTAATTTACATCAGTTAAAATCTATTTCCCTATCTATTTGCAATCACCCCAAGTTTACTTTTTCAAAATTCTAAAAGTTCGTGTGGTAATTACTAATTGAGGAAAAGCATAGCCCTCCCGAGTCATTACATTTTCACAATATGTTTTAACATATGAATTGACCAAATTGCATAAGTAAATTAAGCATGAAGTAATATACCATCACAATATTGCAAATCTAAATCCTACACATGATTACACTTCATTACAAGGAGAAACAAATGAAGAATTACTCATATTTCAAGAAGAAAACAAACCAAGAAGAAAACAAACCAACACATAAGAAGAAAACAAACCAACACATTGATTTATAAGACATGCAAGTCTTACACAATAAAACTTAACTGAATACAAATCAAAGTGCAAAGAAAGCTTATCTCCTTTACTGAAATATGAAATAAACTTCACTCCAAGAAAATCTCCAAGATCTTCTAGCACTTG